ATCTAATGCCCCCATCGAACGAATATTTTCGTTGGTGAATAATATGTGGACGAATGAAAAAAACTAATTTAAAAGTAAGCACATTAGAAGCATGTATGTCCATCAAATACAACTTTCAAATGAACTGTATGGAATTTTATGACTTTAAAGCGTGAAACGGCGCTATAAAAAAATTAAATCTACTGAAAAGTATCAAAATTAATGTTGTTTAAATTTTTACAATGTGTGTATGTGTAATAATTCAGATTGTTTGAAATTTTAATGTATGCATTGTTGTATGCTACTATTTTCGTAATAAATGTTATAAACTTATGAATTTTATAAGGTATTTTTTGATTTTCATCGATATGTCCTTTATTTTACCCAAAAAATATGGTCACTGTAAATATACTATACTAATAATGTATTTTTTTAATTTTTTTCGGTTATCCGATTTTTTAGTTATCCGACCAACCTGAGTCCCCAATTGAATCGGATAATCAATGTTCTACTGTATATACAAATATACTCTCATAGCCTTCAATTTTTATACCTGAGTAATAATATAGTGCTATAGAAAAATGTTTAATTTAAATATCATTGTGAAATAAAATAAGTTTTATTAATATTTATACAAATTATTTTAATACTAACGTGTGAGATTAGCAGTGGGTCACTGGTTAATCCCCAAATGACCACTTACTCTGCACAGGCTGGTAAAACCCGATCTCGGGGTCGTTGGATGGCTAGGATGGCAAATCGAGTGGGGAGGGGGTGAGGAAGCTGACAGGTGTCCTTAAATGACACCTGTCATTTAAGGACACCTGAGTTGTATTTAACCAGTTAAATACAACTCAGAATAAATGTGGCTAACATACTATACTTCTTCTTCCAAGGGTTAAACTAAAAATATGCTTAGGGAGAGAGAGAGTCAACAGGTTCAAATAATTACCTCAAAGAGAGCTCTATGTGGTGATTAAGTGTTATGTGGAAGTTCCTATGGTCTTCTATATGGTATCGTCTCCTTTCGTCGGGTCGAGTCCATTATATGGAGGTCCGGGAGACGAGATGCACACATCGACAAGTATAACTTCTGAGAGATCGTCCCGAGCTTCCAGAGATTTGAGCTTTTATATTGTTCGCTTGGGAAAACTGACACGTAATTGACTTTTGTTGATGATGACGGTGCATTCTTCACACCTAAGTGTAAACTTTTCCAGCTAGTTGTTATACAATCGGTGAAATCCGATCTAGTTCAAACTCTTTGGGTTTTTTCTGAGGATATTTTCACTTAAAAGAAAATTCGAATTTTTAAGAGCCCCGTAAAAATCCGTGAGCTCACAAACATAAAACCTCAAACTTTCTAATGTTTTTTTTCTGACTTTTATTACTACCCAGCATTATTATTATATAGTGTTGTTAGAATGTATCCTAGATGGTATATATACCAGTGTCTAATGCTGTCAGACCAAAGTCAAAGCATAACTACAGAAAACAAATGTTTTGTTTACATACATTGTATATGTATATGTGTTTAAGATTTTCCTGACTATATGACAAGTTTAGAATGGCAGCCTTTTTTTTTATAGTGATGTAGGTTCTATTGTGTCCCTAATGTTTTGAGACTTGTGTAATATATGTAGTATGATGCCTGTGCAAGAAAGGACTATTGTCCATTTTCTATAAACACAATATTTTATGGGCAAGTTATTACTATTTACTAATTTTTCAATTTATTTTGTATGTTGTGGGTGTTTGGTACGGCTATGTATATGATATATGTGATTTTGTTTTGTTTGTCACTGTGCAAATATTTTTTTGTTGAAATTTAGTCTTAAATATTTTCCCTATTGAAATTTTAAGTATTACATTNTTTAGCATGAACTGCCTGATGCGACAATTTGGAATTGTTGAGATCTAACATAAATTGCCCAACACGACAATTAAAATTCGTTTTTGTTAACACAATATTCGGAATATTCTTACATGAAGGCTGATAGTTGATACCCTCTGGATGTCTCTCTCTTGGTACGCAATTGTCTTCTTTCCACGTGGTTCGTTCTTTATTCTTCACCTTCGCACTCTCACGAGATTCCTCCTCACCAACCGGACACGAACCCAGGAGAACAAAAAGTCCCTCAATGCATGTGGTCCTTTCTTTTTATATCCCGCGTCATGTCCTGACGAGGGAACATACGTCATAGCAAGGGGAGCCAATCACAGGCTTGCACTACCACACCTCAAGAGGTGATACAACCTTTACGGAATAATTTATAATTGCTAATGTGCGACAATACGGAATATAGATAATTATATATATTTAACAATGACACTACAACACTTAGTAAAAAACACTACACTATTATCATATAAATGATAACAATTACAAATTATTAATTGAATTTAATATTAATTACAACAGGACTTAGTGATATAATTTTATTTTCCATTCACTGCCTCATTGTGCAGCTCTAATTAAGATGATATTCATGATGACATTCAAACTAAATTTGACTATTGAAAAGATGAAAATAAACTATAAATTACTAGTTTTCATATTATTAGCATATATTATTTTAGTACCTAGTATACTGGAATTTTAAAGTACATTAATATTCCAGAGTTTTAAAGTCTGCAATTCTAAGAAAATACACATATGGTCCATTGGAAGTCTATAAAATTCACTTATGGCTTGAAAATGTTTTTCATCACTGCTTTGTCAAAATTCAGTTTAACTGATTTTTGACAAAGCAGTTAAACTGAATCAACTGCTTTGTCAAAGCAATTAACTGATAAAATGAGAAATCCAATTTATCTGATTTATTGCTAAATTTTGAGATTTATATTTTTCTAAACTTTTATCCCAAAAACAGGTCTTTCTTAAACTATATCTATCAGTAATTTGACATCCAGTTTGTAATCCTCCACTTTAATTAAGTTTAATGTATCTCACTGGACAGAGTCATGGCAAAAAATTGTGATGTGTGATAGAGAGTGTAGACATACATAGTAATCCCAATTGTTTATGGCAATAAACTGTGTAGGGCTCTGGCAACACAAAACTCACCACGTACAGCATTTTGCTACGGCCATTTTATGTGAAAAGCTTCATAGAAATCATCAGTCAGCAGTAGTTTGCAGTGCCATGACTACATCTGTTTCAAACTAGATTATGTGAAAGGAAGCTAATGCTCATACTCTATATATTTTTGATGATACTATGTCTTGTCTATAAAATTGCACTGCTGTCAACAGCTGGACACCTTAGTGGTATGAAGGAGTACATGTCAAGAGTTGTAATTTTGGCACAGAGTATTTGGTGCCCAAATCATGCACATATAAAAAAAACCAGACTTGTAGGTAATCAGGAGACCAAGAACCAAGTCAAAATAAAATACAACATGGCAACACTGTTTCTACAAACAGGTGCTAGTGCACATGCATTGCTCATTGGGCATTTCGAAATGCAAGCGTTTTGAAATTGAATTTTGACAAATATGTGACACACGTTACATGTGTATTCTCTTGCTCTCGGATTGCGAAATGAAACAACAAGAGCAACATCAGGACAGTTCGGGTACAAATATCTTCCCGCTTACGGTAGCCAAGAACAGGCCTGTGACAACGCAACCTGTCATAATCACGGTGGCAACAAAGCTCGCTGTAATCTATGCCAGGATCCTGAGTACCAGTGTCAGCTTTTCCTCATTGGTTAGTGCTCATTTTTCTCTTTTCCTTAGAAAATGGTGTGAATCAAGCCGTGAGTCCCCGAGACATAGTCTCATCTCAAAAATGGCCTTGCCGTTTTACTTGTTTGAAATTTATTTGTGTATTCACTATAAAACAAACAATAGATCTATACCTCTGTGTTAGATTTTCTAGGTGATAATATAAGTAATATATTATTAGAAAATAAAAATGAACTGTATAATGATTTTAAATTTTAAAAACTATTGTTTTGACATTTTTGGATTTTAGTATAAAAGTTAGCTAATAAAATAAACATTTTTTGAAAGAATTCCTAATGAAGGAAATATTTGAATTAAAATGACATAAAAATTAAAATTAAAGTTTAATTTTAATTTTTAACTAATGTTTAATTTTAATTTTACAGTAGCCTCTTGTTATGTCACTCATTCAGATATATTGCACTTTTTTTTTCTTTTTTTCAAGTATAAAAGTGCTTTAAAAAATTGACTGCAGTTGAATTTTTATGCACAAAGAAATATCTTATTTTATCATTAGCTTGAAACTATCATTGTATGAAATACAACCTACAAAAATGCAAATTGACATGGAGATTGAAAATAGACAAAACAGATGGATAGATTAGTTATATTGTGCCATTGATATATCACTCATTTGGTTTGTCTACTAATATATGTGATATAACAAAGAACTACTGTATATAAATTTACAATAATTATAAATATATAAAGGTTTTATGTTTAGTGCTTTTTTATTGGTGACAATCTATATACATTAGAAAAATAACTGCTGTTTAACAGATAGAAATTATTTTTCTGTTATTTTTCATTAAATTCTATTAAAAGGATATTTTTTTAGAAAACTTGGACCTTTAATTGCAAAGAGACGAACTCCAAAAATTGCTGAACGTTATCAGCAGATTGGTGGTGGTTCACCTATAAGAAGTTGGACAGATAAACAAGGACTATTATTAACTAATTTGTTAGATAAGATATCTCCAAAAACAGGTTAGAAATAATTTTAAAATGCTTAATATTAAAATCAGTTGATTAATGCATAAAATTTTATTTTAGCACCTCACAAACATTATATTGGCTTTCGTTATGCTCATCCTCTTACAGAAAATACTTTGGATGAAATTGAAAGGTAAAATTATAGTAATTTTAAAAAAATATAAACATTTAAATTCAATTTTTTTTTCTAATAGTTGTGAAATGTTCGTAGCAAAAAAGATTTACACAAAGTATATTATACAAAAGAAGAAAAACTTTATTTTCATATCCAAAGAAAATTTTCTGCAGGTCCCAACTCCTCTTAGACAAGTCTCTTGTTTTCCTTTCACTCATGAGACAGATATATACAGAGTTTCTTTGCACAAAATAGGTGCTGTCACAAATTCTATTTTCCAGTGATAACAAAATGTGATGATACAGAAACTTTACAATCACAAACTGTGTTTTTAACCTATTATTAGTTAATTAATTAACCTACTTATAACTAAATTATTAGGATATATGTATAGCTAGAAGAGGGAAAAAGAAGAAATCTTAGCACATGGGTACCCAATGGCCTTGAATGTTCTTTTGATGCTTTGATTTGGATCTGATCCTTCTCGTCTTAGCCAATTTCTTTTTCTTCGCTGAACCACTCCTTAAGAGTCTGTGATGAGGGATGCTGTCCGAGAAGTCATCCCTATAACACTTATGAATAATGTCTCTATATGCATTTGTGAGACTAATCGGGGGTAGGATGTTTACGAGGATGTCCCTCTCCTACCACTTACTCGACTCAAGACCTTGAGGTCCGGTCTCGCTTGTCTAAAGGATGGGAAAAAAGAGTTAGGAGAAAGGATCGTTAGATTCTTTCACCTGTCAGGATCTGACACCAATCTATCAATTTATCGCGGATAGATACGCGGATGGATGGGGAATTATCACGAGCGATCTCGTCGAGGACTTCGGGTTCAGTATGGAGTGGAGAATTGTAGGAAGAAACGCACACCAATCCAAGTTCGTTAACAAAATACCCATTTATTCCGTACATTTATACATAGTTAATAATTGGAATACAAATCCCTCTCGCGGGTTCAATCCGTATAGTTCATAAAGTAACGGCAAAGTATAAAATAGTCGCGACCCTACCCGCGAGGTTCAAATATTTGAGAGAGAGCTTACACATCATCGCGTGTAGGATAAATACCTCTGATTAGGTTGTTATAACATTGATCCGAGGTTCGTCCTTCCAAGTTCAAAGTTCAAATCAGTCCAAAGTTCGAAGTCGAAGTTCAAAGTCTATTAAAGACGGTGGAGAAGAGATGCAGGTAAATCCACGGGCACACACACACAGTATAGAGAAAAGAACTTAATTTCCCCCTTGTGTCGTCATCGCACTTGTCTTTTATATGGGGCTCTGTTTTCGAGATGTCCCCCATGTACGTCACAGGTGATGATCTTCTTTGACCAATGATGGGCGAAGTGACAAACTTATGACCCAACAGTTAACTCATCTTCTACAGGGAAGTATTGTGGTGGGAACGGAGTTTTTATGAGCGATTTTTATGAGAAAATTTGTCGGTTGTTTTTTCCTTTTTGAGTTAACCCTAACTTTAAAAAAATCGTTTTGGTTTGAAATGAATAGAAATTATTCGATTCTCAGCCTTTTTAAATCCTGGGCCTCACACATTTCTATCTCTGATACCACCTTGTCAAGCCCTCATCGTCTGCTGAAAATGATCAAGAGCCTTCCTTCTATAAGTCTTGTCTCTCCGGTGTCCAGCCAAAAAATGCTTAGCTAGCACAAGTTTTTCCCTCAGGGTTTTTCTCCCTCTATTGACTTTTCTGCCCCACCCTAGAAGGGAAGGGTTTGGTCCAGTGGCCTGCCATGACATTTGATGATAGGGAAAGTGTGTTTCTGTAAGAAGCCGACTTCCAGGGGAAATCAGTCAGTGATGATCTAGGGTCCATTCGTATTCGTTTGTTAGATAATCCAGTAAAAACCGTAGACTTCTCTAAATGTATTTTTAATTAATAGATTATCTAACAAACTTAATAAATAAGCAAGTTCAATATAATTAACTCTCTTATATTAGATTTAATAGATTCTAAACGCCCTCTAAATGCCAATTCTCGCTTCGATAACATCTACTAATTAAAATATATCTATTAGCNATGGGTACCCAATGGCCTTGAATGTTCTTTTGATGCTTTGATTTGGATCTGATCCTTCTCGTCTGAGCCAATTTCTTTTTCTTCGCTGAACCACTCCTTAAGAGTCTGTGATGAGGGATGCTCTCCGAGAAGTCATCCCTATAACACTTATGAATAATGTCTCTATATGCGTTTCTATCTCTGATACCACCTTGTCAAGCCCTCATCGTCTGCTGAAAATGATCAAGAGCCTTCCTTCTATAAGTCTTGTCTGTCTGGTGTCCAGCCAAAAAATGTTTAGCTAGCACAAGTTTTTCCCTCAGGGTTTTTCTCCCTTTATTGACTTTTCTGCCCCACCCTAGCAGGGAAGGGTTTGGTCCAGTGGCGTGCCATGACATTTGATGATAGGGAAGGCGTGTTTCTGTAAGAAGTTGACTTCCAGGGACAATCAGTCAGTGATGGTCTAGGGTCCCATTTGTATTCGTTTGTTTGATAAGCCAGTAAAAACTGTAGACTTCTTTAAATGTATTTTTAATTAATAGATTATCTAACGCACTTAATAAATAAGCAAGTTCAATATAATTAACTCTGTTATATTAGATTTAATAGATTCTCTACGCCCTCTAAATGCCAATTCTCGCTTCGATAACATCTACTAATTAAAATATAATATATCTATTAGCCGTAACTATCT